CTCTGTGTGGAATGAGGGTACTATCGTGTAATCTTTGCAACATCATCCAGTAATTTCTGTGTGGAGCAGTGGTGCTTTACATAGATGAAAAGGGAAAGTAATAGGTACAATGGTAATTGCAGAACAGTGCCTACACAGTAACTTGTTTGAATGTAATGGACAACACCTAGATTTTTCTCCCAAGGTTTCTTGGAGCAGTCTTTTCATGCTGGACCTCAGATGGCAGCAACGTTGTTTCTTCTGAATAAATTATTTCCGTCTTCATGTCCACTTTAGGCCAAAAAAATTCACTCATTTCCAACTATCTAGCTGCCGCCGATTGATGTTACTGTACCATCAATGAGGAAACATGAGCCTCTTAGTGCCGTTACCTTTTTAGATTGATATCATTGAAATTGTTTTAAAATTGATAACCTCTGGCAAGCAATGGCAATTTGTCTATGGATTTTAATAGCAACAATGCAACATGGTATTAATGTGCAGTAATAGTTTCAATTTTCACTTGATTGTGAAGGATCAAACTAACCTACTTATGAATTGTGACTGGATTTAAAGAATCAGCAGAAAAGGTGATACCAAGTTCAATGCTCTCCCTCTTTCTCAGTCTCTTTCTCCTCTCTTCCATTGCCCATGCACAATGCAACAGCAGTTGCCAATCTTTTGTACCTTCTCCACAGAATCTTTTTGCCTTGACATTCGTTAGTGGAATTGCCTCCAGAAACCTGGTAGACACATCTGTTATGGTTAGCAAATACTGGTTCCCACTTTTGGTTTTCGGGAAGGGCCTACACAATCAATTATGACCCACGTAAAAGATTCTTCAAATGCAGGAATTGATATCAAAGGTGCTGGTTTTATTACTGCCTGTGGCTTTCCTACCATCTGACACGTATGACAGGTATGGCAAAATTCAACCACATCTTTATTTAATCCAGGCCAATGAAAAATGCTCCTGTATCTTAGCCTGAGTCTTTCTCACTCCTAGATTACCACCTACAGGTAATTCATGTGTTACCTGCAATGCTTCCTGTCCGTGTATTCTACTGGCAAAACAATCTGGTGAACTTGTGCCCATTTCTCTCTTGTACTAACCTGCCACAGTCTCAATTTCTCCCTTAAGATTTTATCCTCCATGTAATAGCATTCTGGTGTACATTCTGATTCTTTTTTCCGAGTAGGCTTTAAGATAAATCCTTCATGTCATCTTTTTGTTGTAACTCCATTAATCTTTCAGAACTAAACACCTCTGCCTGATCCTCTACTAGCTTCGGTTTTTTCCTTTTACCATCTCATCAAATAGTGTCAGCTAACTGAACTTCAACTCATTCATCTTCCTCGTTTGTTTTCCCTTCTTGTTTTAACTTATGGCCGTGGGATCTTGTCACCCTGCAGTCTGGAAAAATTGCAGGATTTTTTTTCTTTTAACTACTCAGCTGCCTGGTTTTCTTTTGTTTTGTTTTCACTACAATGGGCATCACTCCCACCTATGATCTAAGCTATATTGTTTCCAAGAAGAAACTGTATTCCTGAAATAGCAGAAGTAATGGAAAAACTGGCTATCATTTCCCCACTCTTGATTGGACTTTCTAGCCTTATTTTATGTAGGGGAAAGGTACTCCTCTCTCCTTATTCCACAGATTACCACTTTCTTGGACAATATTTCAGGAGTGCAAATATTTTCATCTCTTACTATTCGAGACTGACCAACTTCTTTTATCTCAATATTTTAACTTCTTTACCTACTTCCCCTGTCCTATCTGAGTAAATCTTACCCACACAAGTGAAGTCTTTGAAAAGATTAGATGCTATCTTACTATCCAGCCTGTGACTAGACTGTGCGCACTCCTGCATCTCTTCGATTTCTCCTACAATTTCCTTCACTACCTCAACTAATCCCACTGGTTTAGCTTTTTTAACCAGTGCCTTTCTTAAACCATCAGCACTGTGACTTTGACTTTGTGTGCCCCATCTTTTATTGCAGTGAAAACACCCGAGGGCTTTCACTATTTTTTTCCCCACCCTCTTGGGTTTCTTCTTTTTAACGTGGTAAACTGTTACCAGTGTGATCTACTTTTTTGTTTCTCATTTGAAGGATCTCCCTCTTTCCCAATTTCTATCCCTTGCAGAATGAAATTGCTGTTGAAAGCTTGATTTCAATTTATGCACTAATACATACTCATCTGCCATCTCTGCAGCTCTTCTCGCTATTCTAACTTCCTGTTCCTCAAATGTGTTCTTATCACTTCTGAAAGTGAGTTTTTAAACTCATTCAGCAGAATATCTCTTAAGCACGTCCTATTGCCTCTTCTATCTCTAATGCTCTCATCCATCTATCAAAGTTGCTCTGTATATAATTCTTTCAAACTCCATATAAATCTGACCTGGTTGCTTTCTTGCATTTCTGAACCATTGTCTCTGTGCTTCTGGTACTAGTTTGTAGGCACTCCGAAATAGCCTTATTTACTTCTTATTCTCCTGATACCTCCTCTGGCAGTGCTACAAACACCTCACTAGCCCTGCCTACAATTTGGTCTGATTTAACATCACCTACACAGTCTCTGGCCAGTTTGTCTGTTTATCCAATTTCTCAAAAGAAATGAAAAAGGCTTCTAGATCTCTTTCATCAAATTTTGATAACATTTGGACACATTTGTATATATCCCTACCAGGCTGTTTAGCTATGATGAGTTTGCTCATCACTTCTATCTTGTACTTTTACTTCTGTCATTAGAAGTCTTTTTGCTTAAGTTCTAACTTCATCTTTTCCAACTTGAACATTCTTTCTTTTTTTTTCTTCTGCCATGGCTGTCTTCTCTTTTTTTCTTCAGCTAGGACTCTTCTCTCCCTTTTCTTTGTCCTCCAACTCCAGTTGTCTCATTTTGCAATTTGGTTTTTTTCCTAACTCCACTGCACTTGACTGTTTCTGATACCTAAATGCTAGACTAGCTTCAAAACCACTTTTAGCTTTCTTATTGTCCCCAGTTAAGACTATTGTAGTCTGTCTGCTAATTCTAAAAGTGTCACTTTTTTTTTGTTGGTCTTTCAAAGCTTTCTTAGCAAATTTTGGGAAGCGTCTTTTTGACTCTTCAGCAATGTTAAGAGCCACTTGCCCACTTTTTTTATATTTTAATGGACATTAAGCAACTGAAATTAAGCAGATTTTCCACTTCTCACTTAAGTTTTATTTAAAGATCTAGGGCACTGGTCCCTAAGTCTGTTTAAATCTGCTGGGACCGTTCATACGCCACATCCTGTCCGCATTGCCCCAATCTGGTATAAAGCAGAGATTGACAACCAGATCCACCCCCCCCCCCCCCCCCCAAACTAAAACTGAAACACCAAGGAGGAGAACCTCACCTCGTAATCTGTTTTTAAAAAGTGTGAAAAGTGGTGTAACCTGCCTTTCAGCAGCTTCTAGTGGCTAGATAAAACAAATCCCTGACAGTCACTCTAAATCAACTAAACAATTTATTTATCTAATTCGAACAGTGAACAAATTAACTAAACTATTAACGAACCGAATAAATCACTTCTATCTAACTAACTACCCCTGAATAAAGCACGATTGTAATGGTATGCTGTTCCAATAAATAAAGTTCTATCTCTCTCAATATATATCTCTATATAGATATGTCTCACGACATTACAGCCCGGTTACATGTCTGCCAGAATGGTCTGTGCCTTCTCCGTCGATCCTTCTGTCAGGAATGTTACTAGTTATGCTGTTGATACTGTGTTGTTATTTAGTTGGTGCTTTCTCTAAGACATAGTGGAGGCTCTGAGGGCTGGAGACTCTCTCGAGAGCTGAAGGCAGTTAGCTCTGGGGCTTTGTCCAACTGATGCTATGACCATATTCTTACAATAGGCTTGGTCCTGTGTTGTCAAAACTATCAAACTTAAATTCGATAGGTTTTTGGTATCTAAGTACTAGGTTCAAATTGATAGGCTTTTGGATTTAGCCAGTTATCTTGGTTGAAATCTGCTGCTTGACCTGGTAACTGTATGGCCTTTCAAAACAAATGTTTCAATTCAGGTGCTGTGTACCTGCAAACTTTCAAGTTGCTGCTTGCAGAGATCCATTTTAAATCTCTAAGCGCAGAAAAAGCACCTTCCCTTTTAAAGGGACCACACAATGCTCTCCCCCTTAACATCTTACAAATACACCAAATTCTAACTTCCTGCTTCCTGATCTGCAAATACTCTACCCAGCTTCGCAACAGATGTATTAGTCAGTTTAAATATTTTTTTTTATTTTTAAAATTATTGGACACATTCTACCAGTTGAGTGGTAGATCCAGCAGCAAACAATTACTTGTACCCATTTTTTGCTAAACAATGTGCTTATTGAATGATGTTTGACATTTCTTAGTCAAGTAATTGATAGTCAAACAATTTGACATTCGTGTGGAATTGGGTGTTACTTTTGAGATTTGTTGCTGGTCAGGGAGATTATTTTCTGATTTCAGTTGTTGGGAACTGGGCCCAATTGTCTCAATGTATATATCTGTGGGGCCAAGTAGGGGTATAATTTGAGTATTGTTTTCAAGATATTCATTGGCTAAAATATACCCCTTTTGATTTCCACTCACTTCCCTTTTCAATCCAGAGAGCCTTTTGTAGAGTTATCATTCCATGAGAGCCAGCAGCCCTCTGTTATTGAGCCTAAACAATGGTTCTGCAAAAATCTTTGAAATGTGAAAGCTGTCCAACCATCTATTTCTGTTGAACTTGTAGATTGGGGTGCTGAGGCCAAAAGTAGCTCTTTGCTGTTTTGTACATAATTAGCTGACTCCCCACATGGTGATCAGTGTTTCACGGCTGTCTAATCATTTTTGTCTATTTGGTTGTTTGAGGAGAAAGCCTAATGTGTTGGAGTTGAAGCAGGATCTCTCCTGTTATGGTATTATAAAGTCAGAGGTAAATCTATCTTGCATTTTCCACAAAATGCACTTCCCAGTGGATATTACTAAAAGCACTATTGATGGAGGCCATGCCAGACTGAAAATAGATCAATTATGTTTGGGGCAAAAATCTTTCTTTTGATAGACAATATTTGTTGCACTCACAGTCCAATATGTTTGCTTTTTCTCTTCTGCAGCATTTTAAAGGAGTGCAAGGATGTGGAGCTCTCATTCAGTGATATGACTGTTAAGTCTGATTTCTTTAAGGGCACCAAGAAGGGAACATTGTACTTGACGCCTTACAGGGTAAGCTTCTCTTTCAATAATTGTGTCTCTATCATAATACTCGGAAAATAACTGTTTCTTCATGGCAACAAATTTATTACTGATGTACTCTAAGCAGATGTCATTAGAGTGGCTCACTGCTGCAGCCTCTATTGCTCATTTCAGGTATAATGTGCTTGAAATGCAGCTTTAAGAAAATAATCAGACCAGATTCATACAAGTTCTGAGGAAGGGTCACCGGACCCGAAACGTTAACACTGTTTTTTCCTTCACAGATGCTGCCAGACCTGCTGAGCTTTTCCAGCAACTTTGTTTTTGTTCCAGATTCATGCACCATTTCATTGATCTCTGCTGAGGAGTATACTTAAGTGTAATATGGAGGAGTGGGGTGGAGAGGTGAATAATTTACCAGTACTTATTGCCAAGGCCTAAGCTTGTAGGATGGATACTCTAATACTGGACAGCTATCAACATCCTTAGTACCTGGGACTCCAGGAGATGGGAAGAGAAAATTGGACATGGGCATTTTTTATTGCGAGTTTCTGTGCTTTCACTCCATTTGTGGAATAGGAACAAAGGGAAGCTATATGAAAGACAAGATTGATTCTGGATGTGTGATGTTTTTGTTTCAGATGATCTTTCTGTCAAAAGGGACTAACTTTATGCAGTCATTTATGATGCCCTTTTACCTTGTGAAAGACTGTTCTATTGAGCAACCTGTTTTCTCTGCTAATTATATCAAGGGGACTATTCGGGCAGAACCCGGAGGTATGTAAGATAATCCCAAGAAGTAAAGTTCATGTTGGGAAGATTGTGTGTGTGTGTGTTTTCGTTTTTGTTTTGTGAGAAAGGAGTGGCAGGACATTAAAGTCAAAGGGCATCCTAATTAAATAGTCTTGACTGATTTTTCTGTCACTTGCCCAGAGTATGTCAAATTAACTGACTGGAATGATAAACTCCCCTTTGCACCCATCTAGCAAACAAAACTAAAAGGCAATATATGTTCCACGAGAAAAGTCACAAAGAATTTTTTCCTGGTTTCTTTATTGGATTTATCCAGAGTGCTTCTCAAATGACAAACTTGTTATCAAATTGAGTAATTGAGGGAAAATAGCATTGATAAATACATGGAGAAAACAATAAAAGGATATGCAGAAAGAGTTGAAGTAAAAGTAAAATGGTGAAGTTGCCACAGTCCCAGAGCTGGGAAGAAGGTGCTTAAACCTTAAATACTAGTTGAATCAAATTGCCTTCTGCTCTCCAATGCTGAACGTTCTGTACTCAGCAAAGGCCTCAGCTTTATTCCTCTGCGTCCCCATCTTAACGAATTTTGGGCATGACATGACACCAAACTCTTCCGCTGTCTTTGTCTTTGACTTCGTGCTCATTTCTTTGGACAAGAGTCCTCTTCCCGTCCCACAGACCCCTTTGCCCAGTTCCAGCACTCTCTCCCTCTGCCTGGGCCCCTCCCTCCAGCCTTTTATCCACACTCTATCTGTTCATTGAGAACTGGCGACGTGATATTAGTCGCCTCAATTTCTCTGCACCCCCCCCCCCCCCCCCCCCCCAATCCAACCTATCTCCCTCCAAACTGACTGCACTCTGATCTAACCCTGACTTTGTTAAGCCTGCTGATAAGGGTGGTGCTATTGTTTGGTGTACTGACCTTGCAGAGGCTGAGCGCCAGTGTAGGTCAATGGGCACAGTGATAATGAATGAATGGAACTTAATGCAATTTTGTTTTTCATATTTTGTGCACTTCTGAGAAGAGAGTGGGATTATTGGCAGAATTTTTTTTATTCCTTCATGGGAGATAGGCATTGCTGGCTAGGTCAGCATTTATTGCCGAGAGGGCAGTTCAGAGTCAACCATATTGCTGTGGGACTGGAGCCACATGTAGGCCAGACCAGGTAAGGATGGCAGTTCCCTTCCCTAAAGGGCATTAGTGAACCAGATGGGTTTTTCTGACAATTGATAATTGTTTCACGGTCATCATTAGACTCCAGATGTTTGTTGAATTCAAATTCCACCATCTGCTGTGGCAGGATTTGAATCTGGGTCCCCAGAGCATTACCTGGGTCTCTGGATTAATAGTCCAGCAATAATACCACTAGGTCATAGGGAATAATTAGGTTATCATTAATTTTTGAACTGTTATCAACACTCTTCCTATAGATCTTCAAAGTACAAGCAAGGATGGTATTAGCAAAGCTTGAATTCAGGTCATAGATCCCAGATTTGTATGCTGTGTTAGTGGATTTCCATGTGTGTGTGTGTGTGTGTGTGTGTGTGTGTGTGTGTCATTGGGCACAGTGCTCCCATTTTCATTTTGACATTGAGTGATTCAGGTAGCGCTGCTATTTGGCACAAAAATAAAACTGGAGAGGTGGCCCGACTGTGGCTAACAAGGGAAATGGGGGTCTTATTAGCTCCAAGGAAGGGACACACTAATTGGCCAAAAAATGCAGCAGACTTGAGGATTGTGAGCAGTTTAGATTTCAGCAAAGGAGAACGAAAGGATTGATTTAAGAAGGGGAAAATAGAATGAGAGTAAGCTTGCAGGGAATAGCAAACTGATTACAAAACCTTGTGGGTATGTGAAGAGAAAATAGTAATGAAGACAAATGTAGATTCCTTTATAGTCAGAAATTGTGTTAATTACTATTAATTCCTAGTTTAGCTCTTGCCTTCACAAGTCCCAAAACTTGGGGAACCCAGGTCTCATGAGAGGTTGGAACTGAAAGAAATAGTATTAGTAAGGAAATGGTGTTGGGAAAGCTTGATGGGATTGAAGGCCAATACATACCCAAGGCTTGATCAATATCCTAGAGTACGTAGGAGTTTGGAAGGAAGAGGCCCTACAAATAGTGGAAACACTGGTGATCATCTTTCAAGATTCTATAGATTATGGATTGAAGGATTGCTGATGTAAAGCCACTATTTAAAATAGAGGAAGAGAGAATTATAGACCAGTTAGCCTGATATGTGGTAAATACTGGAGTCCATTATAAAAGATTTAATAGCAGAGCACTCTTAGAATGTGACAGGATTGTACAGAGCATGAATTTACAAAAGGCAAATTGTGCTTGACAAATCTATTGGACTTTTTTTTATTCAAGGATGTAATTTGTAGAGTTGATGAGGGGGAGTCAGTGGATGTGGATTAATTGGACTTTCAATAAGGTCCTGCATAGGAGACTAGCATGTAAAATTAAAGCGCATGGGACAAGGGTGGTGTACTGATATGCATGGAAAACTGGTTGGCAGTCAGGAAATAGTGTGAATAAACACCGACCTGAGTAGCAGGCAGTGACCTGTGGAATACTGCCACTATCAGTGGTTGGAACCCAGCTATTTACAATATATTAATGATTTAGATGGGGGAACAATACGTACTGGGTTGGATAGTGAGCTGTGAGGAGGATCTAGAGATGCTTCTGTAATTTGGACAAGTTGAGTCAGTAGGCAAATGTATGGTAGATGAAGTATATCCACTTTGGCAGCAAAAGCAGGAAGGCAAATCATTCACTGAATAGTGATTAGGTTTGGAAAGGGAAGGTGCAACAAGACATGGGTGTCCTTGTCACCTGTTGCTGAAAGTAAGCATGTACATGCAACAGGTGGCGAGGAAGGCCTTCAAGGTGAGAGGATTTGAGTACAGGACCTTGGAAGTTTTGTTGTGATTGTACAGCTCCTTGGTGAGATCAAACCTGGAGTATTGTGTGCAGTTTTGGTTCCTTTCCTGAGGAAGGAGTTCTGACTATGGTGGCAGTGCAGTGAAGATTTGTCAGACTAATTCTGGGATGGCAGGACTGCTGTATGAAGAAAGATTGGACCATGAGGCCACTTAAGATTGAAAACCAATTTCTTCCCCCAGATTGTGGCTAGCCTTTGGGATTCTCTGCCACAGAGTGGTTGAGGCTAAAATATTGAATGCATTCAATGAGTTTGCCATAGTTCTTGGGACTAAACGGACAATGGAGTATGGGGAGAAAGCAGGAACAGGATACTGAGTTGGATGATCGTCCATGATCATATAGAATGGTGGAGCTGATTTTGAAGGGCTGAATAGCCTCCCTTTGCTCATATTTTGCATGTTTAAATGCAACACCAACCCAATTTTTTTTTTTAGAACGTGTTATGCTGACCTAAAGAACAACCTAAGTCTTTGTCCTAGTCCTAATTTGTTTGTTTGGTTTCCAGGTGGTTGGGAAGGACAGGCCTCATTCAAATTGGTTTTTAACAGCGGCGGAGCCATTGAATTTGGACAACTGATGTTCAAAGTTGCTCAACAAGGTAGGTTAGAGATGGATGTGCTAAATCCTGTCCATTTTATACAAAGGTGTAATTTGTAATCATGTGAATGATCTTCACTTGGATGGAAATATTTTCTAGTCGATTAATATCCAAATACAACCCGAAGTCCTTGAATGGAAGTATTTCCGCAGATTGGGTGCAAGTAGATCAAATGAAGCATCTCTTCAAACTAAAATCAATATCTTTGATGATAAAAGTAACAAAGAAATTTTAGACATTTTTAACATACAGAATTTAAATACATTTGAAGCCCAAGTAATGACCCTTTGCTTGTTGTCTGTCCTGATAGAATTGAGAACTGTAGAAAAGGAGGTTAGCACCAGGTTTCAGTATTGGTATTTGCATAGTATGTGGAAGTGTCACAGATCCAGAAGCACAGCAAAATCCCCTAGTTCTACTCCAACTATGAGAATTGTAGCATTCTCCTTTGCCTGGAAGCATCATAAATACATTCAGGAGTAACCCTGTTGAGCTGGCTTTGCTGTTTAGTATGATCATGGCTTACTTTCAACTCCACTTCCTGCCATGTCCCAAAATCCCTTGAATCCTAAGAGATCAAAAATCACTATCTTCTGTCACAAAGATTCTCTCCAGGCCCAAAGAAGGATGCACTTCCCTTGGAGTGGACGTAGTGCAATCACGAGATTGATTCCTTACATGAGAGGCTTGACCTTTCAAGGAGAGATCTAGTAAAATGGGCCTGTTCTCATGAGTTAGAAATAATGAGATGACCTTCTTGAAATACCTAGAATTTATTAGAGTTGTTGAGGCTATTTCTCCTGACTGGGGAGTTTAAAACTAGGGGCCTTAGCCTGAGGATTGAGGTTAGCCATTTGGGATCAAAATGAAGCAAAACTCTGTTACTGACTGGAAAATGTCTTCAGTGAATTCTCCAACCTCAGGAGCGCGGATGCTCAGTTATTGTGTGTGTCCGGGACTGTGATAGCTAGGTACCACACACTAAGGGAATCTTCGGATATATGTTTAAGGTGGGAAAGTTGAAGCAGAAGATCTGACATGATTCTAGTGAATGATGGAATAGGCCTGACAGGGCAGTGTATCTTGAGTGTTGCTCTTATATCTAATGTTCTTAATTGTGCTTAAGAACTTCTGATTATTTCAGCTCAGGTTTGATATGCAGTGCTGGTTTTCATGCTACATCCACCTGAACTGGCACATGCCTGGCAGTGCGTTTATAGATTTTGTCCTCGTGCACTTAAAATACACTCTATTGACATAATGTAAATTGTGCAAATGTACTGAATTTAGTAAGAATTTCATACAAGAAACCTAGCCCTTGACTATAATGTTTACATAATGTAGGGGAACAGATGTACTAGTGATTGGCATTAGGATTAAGGCCCACTTAGTAACATTTCACCAATCATTCAATATAAAGGAACTGCAAGTAGTATTCTTCTACTGATTGCTTTTGAAAATGCACACTGAACAAGAGATTTTTCTATGTGTATACCTATCATTATTGTAATATGCTGTTGATAACCTGTTTTTACAAGTCTGTCTCTTGCTGTTCAGCTGACAATTGTTACTTTAAGGCATAATTGATTCTGTGCCCCCACAACGTGTGGGTTGTCATTGCAAAATCTAATTTCTGCCTTTTTTTTCCCTTTAGCCTCCAGGGGTACTCCTGTACAGAATGCTGCTTATGGATATGCACCAATGGCTGACATGGCTTTTGGATTTGCCCCAGCAAATGGTCCATACCCCTATCAGCCATCTCCTATGAATGGAGGTTATGGGCCTCCACCTACACCAATGGGATACCAGTATGGTCCTCCACCAGGTAAAGAAAATGAACTTTTTTTTTTCTAAAACAAGAGGTGGTAAACACCATAAAAGATGATGGGCTTCATACTCGGTTGTAGCAGCAGGAGCAGCAACAAATTTTTTTTTTTTGTTTATTGAAAGATTGGAAGAACATGAGAGTTGTGATATAGTAAAATACTAGTGTGCCAATTCCCATTCTGTTGCATATTACAATAGTATTGGAGTTGTTGAATGAGAATTAATCTCTGTCAATTAGTCTACAACGGAACTAGTCATTTTATTGTCTTTCATGAGATGGATGTTGCTGTTGCCCGTCCCTAATTTTCTTTGTGTTGTGGGGTAAGGAAAGCCATGAGTGATGGAGAACTTTGGGAACTATAGGTTTAAGGTCACTTATTTCTCCCAGGAATATGACAATTTCCTTGTCGTGTTTCAAGTTACCTCTGCCATGTTGCAAAATCTTATATTCTGAAAGAAAGGTATCTAACTTACATTTGTTGAATCAAAATCACCTGTTTATACTGTCTCCCTACAAAGCCAGTACTGTAGCCACCTTTTAACATTCCATATCCCATTGTCTTAATTTTCTTGAGGCCAGAACTTTGCTGTTTTAAGTTTCTAAAGATTGTGTATCAAATTACTTAGTTAATAAAAATCCATTGCAGATGTACTCTGTTAACGTCCTTTTGCCTAAATGTTTTCTAGTTATAGTTTTATTATAGTAATACATTCATAGGAAGGATCAAGTCCGGAATTGCTCAATTGATATGGATGAACATTAGCAAAAATGCAGGCCATGGCCTCAGTGATTCAGATGTATGGTGTCAGTTTTATTGCATTGTCACCCCAGGCATTTCCACTGATGCCAGCATAATCTGTTCGAATGAACTTCTTACCTACTGTGTATTGATAACAATTGCTGTCATAGAAACACCTCAAGATTTTTCTGAAGAAGGGTCTAGGCCCGAAACGTCAGCTTTCTTGCTCCTCTGCTGCTTGACCTGCTGTGTTCATCCAGCTCTACACCTTGTTATTTTTCTCAAGTGAAATACAAATTGGTTTGTAATCTGTATACGTGTTGTGCATTTTCAGGTGCCTATCCTTCTGCTCCTGCAATGGACATGTATGCACCACCTCCGCCTCCCTATCCTGGACCACCTCCAGTCAGTGTGGTTGACCCTGGATTGCCTGGTATGTACGTTGCATACTTCAGATGCTTTCAGAATGAGGCCTGTAGTTCATTTACTTGGTAATGTGGATCATTGACTATTGTGAAGCTCAGGGAGTGGCTATATTTTCTTTTGGCACAATCCAAACATACAAGATAGTCATGAAGAAAAGTAGCAGAAAACTCCGCCCCCTTACTCAGTGGTGAGAATGTGGGACTTTTTACCACTGAGTAATTGAGATGAATAATGCAGATTACTTTACAGGAAAGCTAAATATACAAATACATATTAAGCTAACTGGGTTCTTTTACGGTGATGAAAATCACTGTTCAGATGGTGGTGTTGAAGAAATTGACACTGACTTCTGTGTAAAATGCAAGGTGATTCTGTAGAAAGCCTTGTGTATCACCATTGAGATGGCACTAAACAATTTTTAGTTTGTCTAGAGTGTCCTGATTCTTTCTTCAGTTTCATTGCTATCAATCTGACCTTTTTATAGAAATGATTTGTAGCTGCTGCCTGCTATAAGCAGTGACCTAAATCACTTAAATTGCAGCAGACTCCGATTGTAGTATTTGAGGGAAAAGGTCAGGAATGATACTTTGCGAAGGGAGAATTTAGGAATGTTTCTTTTTAGGTAGGGGAGGAAGAAATGGCTTCAATGGCAGGTGTGGGAATTTTTTTCTTCTTTTTTGAAGGAAAGTGTTGGTTTAAACTTTGACTTTTGCAGGTGGAGCTAAAGCAGCAGAAGCAGCTTCTAGTGCTTACTACAATCCGTCCAATCCTCACAGTGTGTATATGCCAATGGTGAGAGTTCATTGCTGCTATTTTAAAGGTTGAATCTTTCCGATGACTGACTTGTTTCTTTTGAGTCTCCATTTAACAACTTTGGGAAATCCAAATATCTTGCACTCTCTGTAGCTCCTCCTCTCCTCTTTCCCCTTCTCCTCCCCCCCCTCCCCCCCCCACACTCCATCTGCCCTTCTTGCATTCTTTAAGAATGCATCACAGCAGAGGAACTAGCCCTTCGGCCCACAATGTCTGTGCCAAGTATGATGCCACTCTAATCCCATCTGCCTGCACATGATCAGTATCCCTCCATTCCCTGCATATTCATGTGTCTATCTAAATGCCTGATAAACGTTACTTTCAAATCTACTTCTGCACCTCAGAAGGTACCAGGCACATAATGCCCTCTGTAAATTATTTAAAAACCTTGCTTTGTACATCTCCTTTTAAACTTTCCCTCTCTTACCTTCAATCTGTTTCCCCCTAGTGTTTGATTTTTGCCACCCTAGGAAAAATTCTCTTGACTATCCACCAGTGCCTCATAATTTTTATGTTCTTCTTTCAGGTTCCCCCTCAGCCTCCCACACAGTAGTGAAAGCAATCCAAGTTTGTCTAACCTCTCCTCTATAGCCAATACGCTCTAATTCAGGCTACATCTTGGTTAAACCTGTTTGGACCCTCAAGACTCCCCAGCCTTCCTATAGTGCGCATGATTCTGGTTGCCACACTATGCTGAATATGGCCCAAATAAAGTTTGTTTTTTTTTTAATACAGCTGCAACATGACTTGCCAAATTTTATACTCCATGCCCTTACCAATGTAGGCAAGCATGCCGTACTCCTCCTCCATCTATCCACTTGTGCTCCCACTTTTGTAGAAATATGGACTTGTATTGCATGATCCCTCTGAATATCAATGCAGCTAAGGCCCCTGCCACTTGCTGTATACTTGCCTCGCTCACTTAACCTCCCAGACTTGTTCGGTTTAAACTCTGTCTGTCACTTATCAACCCAACTGATCTACATATCGCTGTATCCTTTTGACAACCTTCCTCACTATTCCCAACTCCACCAACTTTGTGTCATCTGAAAACTTCAGATACACACACCAAGGTCCCAGCACTAATTCTGGGGAACACCACTGGTCATGGAGCTCCTTTCTGACTGGAGATCCAATAAATTGTGTTTTTAAAAACAGAAAATTCCTGCTTCATGAAACCATGTTGACTTTGCTTGATAGTGATTTTCCAGATGGCCTGGTATTCCTCCCCCATTAATGTTTTCTAGCAAACTTCCAATGAGATGTTGGGCTAACTAGCCTATAGTTTCCTGCTTTACATCTCCCCTCTATACTTTGAAATGGAGGTAATCAGTTGCAGTTTTTCCAATTCTTTGGGACCTTCACGTCAAGTCAGTGCATAAATCCTTTTTTTAAATTGAAGCTCTGTGTCTGTCTGGAATGATGTTTCTTCCTTTGTTGGGACCCTTGCCTTTTTAAATTAGGACATGTTTAACTTCTGCCTCCACAGTTACTTGCTCTTCCATCCCACTCACCAAAAGAAAACACACATTGGAAATTGCTAGCTTGACACTAATTACAGGTAGTTCTCATATAATGAGATAGTTGCATTCTTGTGTGACCTTGTGCTATAGAAAATCACCATTCCTGTATGGCAGAATGTTTGCGTTATCCAAACAGTATCCACAATTGCATTGCAGCCAATTTGTGTTAACTAAACACTCATTATAGCAGAACTACCTGTATTGCCATTTCAAAATCTTTATATACCAGATTTTCTACTTTATCAGTCCAAGGACATTGCCTGTATCTTTGCTTATGTACTCAAATTTGGAGATAAAACAAGTGCTTTCTATTGTAGGATCAGCCCCCACCATACACTCCAGCGGAGGAGAAGAAGAACAATTGAATCTGTTTGAAGTGCTGATTCTCCCAGTCGTTTGTGAATTGTCTACTTTCTTAAAAACACTGTTATTAGAAGCTGCATTTTTTTATTCAAAGTGAGCTACTTCCTAGCCTCATTCCAGCATCCAGCAGCAAAATGCATCTTGGACTGCAAGTCCCTTTTTGATATCTTTGTTCTTAGGCAATAGGAATGATTTGGGTGAAGTCCTACAACGATCTTTTCCACTAGGAAGACTTAGAATTCCTATTGCCTTTTTGAAAGCAAAAGTATTCACTTAACATGACCAGTTTGCAATTTTGGGGTATTGCTGGTGTTCAGTAGCTATCTGGAGCCAGCAGTTAGCAAGTGTTGATGAATTTCATCCTTTAAACAATGCAAAAATGCAACTTGTAATGACAGTATAGTATTGAAAATATTCTAAGAGTTTAATTAAAGAAATTACTTTGTGATGCAAGTGAATGAACAGATCCCTGCAAAATTACTTTGCTATTTTAAATAACGCCACTGTAAAAATAGTCACTTTGTCATGATGCTGTTTGGCACGTAATTGTACAGCATCATATCTAGGCTTTAGAATTTTTTGGTATGGAAAGGTTGGAATGATGTAAAATCTGTTTTTAAACTCTATATAAAATCTCTTCTGTAAGAAAATAACTTAGATAACCTTGTTAGGAATGTTGCTGAGGAATGCTTTATAGGTTTGGTGGTTAGAGAAAGGAAGTTTGTCCCCTGTATCATTTGAATGAGCTACTTTTCTTAAAAACAAACTTAAGGGGAATGGGGAAAAAAAATCAGATTCTCATGTTTCTAGACACTCAAACCTGATCTGGGTTTGATCCAGTACAATGGATTTTGTGTTAACTTGATATAATTTTGGCCTGAAGCTGTGCAATACAAAGATCGTAGCAAGAAGAAAGATATTGAAGTATAAGCATTTGAAACCTATGTAATAGAGTTTACAGTATTGTGCTTTGGCTATTTAGCTAAAGAGTGATGCACTGTAAATATACTTAAACCAATACACTATGCTGTTTGTTACTTTGGATGGTCTCCACCACAACCCATCTCTGACCCTTTTTTAATGATCAATCCTTTGCCCTGTGTTTAAAAGCAGTTCTAAATGCTGCCTTCAACCACAAGATTTGAAATCACAATTTAATAATTTGGTTGTTGTTTTTTTTTTTTGCCACAGTTCCTGTGATATAATTGAAGATTTGTACTCCAAGTTGACAAGTATTAAGCTCCTCCTATCGCTCCTCGGCACATGCTCTTTCATTGATTGGACCTTGTATTCACTTTTTTTAAAAAGCTCTCTGGCATGTAGTGGCTTCTCTTTATTTGTGTGTTTTTTTTTTGAGGATACTAGAAAGAGCATTTGCCCATTTTTAAGACCAAACTAATCCCTAACTACTTGTTTCTCCTATTTATTGGAATCAAAGATGTCAACTGTACAACAATCTACCGTTCTAAAAGAAACATTTATGCACTTACTGATATCCCAGTTCCCCTGCAATGTGCTTGAATCTTTAAAAGTACCAGTCGAGACAAGCAGGGTACCAGCATGATGTGTTGCATAAATTTAATTAACTTGCTGAGTCGAATCCAGGAGTGATGGAATTGCTTCTTTTGTTTCATTCTGTCTTATTTGCTCTTCTAAATAACCTAATCCATCTTTTGCTTCAGCCTTTATGATTCTCCTTCTTGTCAATTGACAAGCTGTGGTGGAAAAAGTACTCCATTCCCAGATGTTAGACCATTTGAGAAGACAAGCTGAAAGTCATTCAAATGCTTGACTCTCAGATTGGGACTGCCCGAGTTTAACTCCTTGGTTTATCACACAGATTTTGTTTGACTCACTTAGTAATGAGGCCTCCAAATGATAGGAGATCTTGTTTGTTGACATTGGCCAATTACAGGCCAAACCCAAAGATGGTTGTATAGAAATCAGCAGCAAATCAACTGCTGTTCCATGTAGTTAACCAGCTCTGATTTTCCAGCTGTCTGTTTTAATTCCACTTCAGAGAATCCCACTTGTAGCCAAATGCCCTCTTTGAATTTCTATAGTGCATGAAAGGCTGGTGCAGGTCATTCAGAAAGAAATCCAGTGAAATTAATAGAGGATTGATTGAATTCAGGTAAGTGATTTTATAGTGACAATAATCATCCCAAGAGCAATGTAATTAATGGTGATTAATTTTATTGTAACTTTGTTATCTTTCACTACAATAAATCATATAATGTAATGGGTTGTGGCATTAAAGCAAATGGGCTTGGTGCATGGCTTTTAATGAACTGCAAATGCTAATAACTTATTTAATGTTAAATGTTTCTCCACTGCATTTTTTTTGACAAGTCAGATTACATACTGCAGGGCTATCCTCTTAAACTTTAATTTTAATGATCTGAAAGTATTTATAAGTTATATTTTCACTGAAAGCAATGAGTCAGTGCAGCAAAGTCTGACTCTACTGCATTCATTCCAAGGGCTACTCTACTTTTGTCCACAGTATGCACTTCTACTTCTAATGTCATCCTATCGATGAAGAAAACAATGTGTGAAAAAGCAATTAGATCTGTTTAAAAGCTTCAACTGGATAAACACCTATAATCAAACCAAAGTTCAGTGCTGCATTGATTGTTTAAAATTAGGTGCTGTAAGCAATGGGCTCTGGAGCAGATGACAGCATTTTGATTTGATGTCGGTTGATTCTTTTAAAGTCACATCCTGTATTTAAAAATAATGAAGGATCCTTTTTGGCAGTGATGTTTTGCCTTGATGTTTTGCCTATTTATATGATCAAATGTCTGCTGTATGAAGATGGTACCTCTTCTAAAACATCACACCAGAACACATGCTAACCTTCCATGATACTGTCCTCTCCGATTTAATGTGGGTCTGTAAAGCATCTCCATGGATAGAACAACTTTTATTTCCAAAATTCCCGTTGTGATAGTAAGTAAGAGACATTAGCTAAATTTACACATCATTAATCAGATTAGTTTAATGAATTCAAGCATGTGGGCACACTCTGCAGTTTTTAACCAGAACTTATAGAAGGACTCTGCTTTTATTTTTAACCAAAGCAATTAATTTAGGATGGGGAGCTAAGAATGAAAGGGTAGATATTGTCTTGTCTGTGAATTTGAGGAGCTTGATGTGATCTTGAGTTTGTAGGCTTCAGTGACTTTCATGACCATTTAAGAGGGAAGTGTTTTAAATGTTATATTTCACTGTTTTCTCTCATGCATTGCAAGTAACAGTATAGCAGGAAATTTGGATAATGCCATGTTGAAAATGCTTTGATTTGCATCCTATTTACACTGGCTTTCGAGTTGTTCTGCCTACTCAATACAGAGGTCTGGCCTCCAGCTGAGGCTTCGATGGAAGAGGAACACTGCTGCAAATTAAGTACAGACCCTCATGCCAGCACCAAAACAGAAATGTCTCTTTGAGGACTGTTTCAACTATTTGCTGCCACTTTAACACCAAAATGGTGGAAATGGGGCTTTCTGGGGGATTGTTTAAAATTCTCAGCATATAAACAAAATAACCTGGCCTTGAAAGATTGGAGTGAAGGGAAATTCCAGTAGCTCTTTTAGAAGTTGATTGCTTCCAATGATCTATTTTTCCCACATTACACTTGGTTTTCTGCAATTTGTTTCAGTGAGGAGGGTGGGGCAGAGGTTGCACAGTTAGGGTTAGGATGAGCAAACTTTTATCACATACATTGACAATATTTTATAATCTTAACTAAGAGAAACATTTGAGTGTTAAAATGGAGGTATGTAAAATAGTTGATAGTCCTGAATACTATAGGAAAAAACTAGAAAATTCAATAGTGCTCTTAAAATAGGAAGTAAATTTGTACAACACTCTGTTTATACTCCCTCCTTTCCTTCTCTGTACTATCTTTCTTTTGAAGTACTGAAATTCTATGGACAGCTACTTTGGAAAAGCTGATTTTACTTTTCATCTGCTGATTTGAGTCTTAAACAAAAGACTTTGTGGGAATTAATCTTGGAGCTGATAAGAACAACAAAAAGAATAACTGGTTCTGATTCTTCAGAATGGAAAGACAGTGACATTTGTATATACCTCTTGTATTAAGTGCAAGTTGTGATGAAGCAAATAAGAGATCAGCTTTAAGATAACCTTTCTTATATTTGAACTGGATAAAAATGCGCCAATTAAATTATAGATTCTGGGAGCATAATAAACTACTTTTTGTTTAGCCCATACTTTTGTATTAATTGGAGAATTGATAACTGCTAGATTTATAAAATGTGTTAATTGTGTACAAGTCTGTATGTATGCTTCAGCAAAGCTTTACAACTTGTTAATAAATGCACCTAAGAGAAATTTGTGTAATGAATGTGTGCATTTCTTTTTTGTGGGAAATGACTTAAGTTATTTAGATAGGTGGTTCATCCCTGTTAAATGGAAATGCAAGTGTATTTGTGTTTTCTGCTCTTGGAAACACTCGCTCATGGCCTGTAAAATCTAACCAACAGCAATGTAGGTTGATGGTATTCCTCACTTTAAACAAAATCTCCAGGAACATTACACAGGAAAATGATAACTTGGGGAAGAAAGAGATTGGAATGAGTGGCTGAAGAAGATGAGGGTTTTTTATGCAAGATGGTTCAGGAAGATAATTCCAGAGACTTGGAGCATATTAGCTGAAGGACTGACCTCTTAACAATAACAGGAATATAAGGGACAAGCCAGTGAAGAGTCTGTAGCTTTCACTTGTCCCAGGAAAGGATTAGAATCGGATCATTACATCAATATCTGGAGCCACTTTCTGAACTATGGTTAAGGAGTTCTCCTGAATGTTCTCATTGAATGGGAACCAGAATGCCAAGTTGCTAGGGAAACGTAGAGATGCCTAACTAGTAAAGACATAAGGCCAGGGTGCCATGATTGCATGGTTGGCCTGATAAATCCAAGAGTGTCCAGGAAGATAACAATAGCTTTATTGTTATCTGTGATAGAAGCTAACAAACCTTTTTTGAAAAATAATGCCATATGGTCCTTTTTGAGCCTGCTGCATCACTTGATCACAGCTGTTTTTAACTCCATTTTCCTCACACAGGTAGGATATTAGTGATTTCAGTTGTTATTCAAGAATCTGTCTATCTGATTGTGAGTATATTCAACATCCACATTTCATGTCATCCAGGATAAGAGACGTGAGGGAAACATTTTCTCACGTCAAGTAGTCGGGATTGGCACAAGCAGCCTGAGGGTGTGTTGATGGTATGTTAAATGGAGTCATTTAAGAGGGAATTGGATTATTAGCTGAAAAGGAAGAATACTATAGGGTAAAGATAGGAGTGTGGAGAAGTGGCATGAGGTGAATGCCTCCTGTTTAGAGAGCAAAGGCATGTACAGGAGACCTATTAGCCACCTTCAGAGTTCACAGAATCCCTACAGTGTGCCCATTGAGTCCACACTGGCCTCCAAAGACCCACACCTCCACCTCCACCTCCACTTCCACCCCCTCCCCCCAAAAAAAATCCCCGAGAGGCTGCATTTCCCATGGTTAATCCACCTCCACTGCACACTGGGCATTTTAGCATGGCCAATCTACCTAACGTGGGCATGTTTGTATTGTGGGAGGAAACCCATGCAAACACAGGGAGAATATGCAAAACGCGCACAAGCGATGGAATCAAACACAGGTCTCTACTGCTGATGCAGCACTACCCATAATCATTGTATGAATGTCAGGCTAAGGGATCAGTAATTCAGGAAGAGACCTGAGGAAATTTATTCACTCGGTTGTGAATCTTACAATGATTACAACACTGAAGAAAGCCATTTTGCTGCCTGTAATACTCTTTCACATAATCAACTCCCTCTAAAATGCCTACATTTCAACACACCCACAGCTGTGTTCCAATCCCAATCACTTGATGTATGAAATGCTTTTCTTCATGTCTCCATTGATTCTTTTGCCTAATGCCTTGAAACGATGCTCTTCTTGACTACCTACCTTTGTGATTTTGAATAGCTCTACTCAAACTTTTCAAAGAAAACCATCCCAAATTCTCCAATCCATCTGTTGTAACTGAATGTCTTTCACCCCAATGTCATAAATCTTGTCAACACTCTGTAATTCCTTCACATCTTTCCTGAAGTGTGGTGCTTAGAAGTAGAGACAATATCCTAGTTGAGGCTGAAACCGTATTCTATAGTAGTCTAACATTAGTACCATGAGCAAGGACGTTATGTCCCTATTAAAGCCAAGAATTTTGTATGCTTAATTAACTGCACTGTTAATCTCGTTCTTGCTACCTTAAATGGTGTGCAAATGCACCCAGGTCCCTGTTCTCCTCTTTAGAATTGTATCCTTTTAATATTCTCTTTGCATTCTTTCTACCAAAACATACCATTTCACACGTCTCTGTATTAAATTTTGTATGCCAATTATCCATCCAACGGTCTATTTCCCTTTGAAGTTCTACACGATCCTTCAGTTTACACAAATTTTGGAATTGTGCCATATGCATGAATGTCCAATATAAATTTATATCAGGAAAAGCAAGGGTTGCAATAACAACTCCTGGGGAACTCCACTATAATCTTCCTCCAGTACCAAAAACACTAACCACTACTCTCGGTTTCATATCACTCAACCCATTATGTCTCCATTCTGGGACATGCCCCTTTTATTCCATGAATTAGCTCACAGATCTATTGTGCAACGCTTCAACACGTGCCTTTTGGAAGTAGGTCCTTGTGGCTAAAGCGATCAAGGGGTATGGAGAGAAAGTGGGAGTGGGATACTGAAATTGCATGATCAGCCTTGATCATATTGCATGGTGGTGTAGGCTCAAACGGCTGAATGGCTTACTCATGCACCAATTTTCTCTGTTTATTCACCCTTAACGAATCTTAATTTACATACATTTGAACAAGTGACAATTTCATTTTGTCCTGGAAGCCTTCCCACCGTTGAGGTGGAGCTGACGTGTCTGTAGTTGCTGCACTTTCTCTGGAATGTGAGTGAAACATTTGCATTTCTCCAGTTCTCTGGCATCACCCCTGAGTTAAGGAAGACTTGAAAGTTATGACTATTGCTTCTACAATTTCTACATTTGATGTAGATTAGGACATTTAAATTGTGTAGGTCATGGTAAGCAACCAGATGCATTGTCAGCTTCCAAACAAATTAAAATATCAATGTAAAAGACTGTGACTATCTTGGATGCAAAAGGGGTCATTTTAATCCCAAAACATGGGTGGGGCTTCATTCACCTGGGAGGTAAAAATTGTAAAAATTTGAGTCCTGACTCCAACTGGCTTGGAGTGTTCTATTGTTTTATTAATCTGCATTTGCTTGCATTAGTTTGTTGACCTACTATGTTCACTGCTTTTGATTGATTAAAGCTGTTTGCAGCCTCTGAGAATGGAGGTAAGCAGAAGCTTCCAGAAAGACCCTGAGAAGTTTGAACTAGGAGTAGTTGTGTAGAAATTCTGAAAGTGTAGGGACATTTTAAAGCACTAAGATTCTGTACCTAGGTACCTTTGTACCTAGATTGGCGCTGTAAATGACGACTTGTAAACTTTTCACTGTACTCATGTGAGTACGTGACAATAAACTTAATTCAGTAAACATGTTTGTAGACTTGGAGACGTTTCTGCATTGAAAAGAGTTCAATCTGATATATAAACTATACAACAAAACAGTGAGTGAATACACAACAGTGCTTACTTGTGGTTTTAATGGAGATGGACAGGAGTTGGGGGATACAGCCAATGCAAGCCTCGGAAAACCCAGCAGCGAGAGGGAGGTAAATGTCACTGCCGTGATTAAATGTACTTTACCTGTCTGGCTGGGGCAGTTCTGATCTTCTGCTGAACTCCTGCCAAGTTTGCTAATTCCACCCCTTTTGAGGTCTTCAGTTTTACCCCTGAAATCTGTGATCTCCTCTTAGCCACCCTATCCCCTAGGCCAACCCTTCCTTTTGAGTTGATAGCACGCAGGGAAACCTTTATTTTCCGGGCTTTCTAGAAGCCACTATGTCCCTGCCTCCAGCAGAACCAAAAATTAAAAGTCCCCCAGAAAGTCTGTTTTAAGTTACTATTAAGGTTAAGGTGCAACATTTGTAATTATGCAAAATAATCCTTCACTGATCAGGAGAGATGCACTTTCTATACAATGTGAGAGTGACATGTTGTATAACACTACACCCTCTTGTGGTGACATACAGCATAAAACATGAATCTCAGAATGTACAAGTTTTAGAGAAAATTGTTCAGCTCTGCCTGCAAAAGTGCCTCTAGAATTTATGATTAGGTACTGCTTTTAGTAGTATTTCGTATGCTGCTGTGAGCAGTCACCCAGATTTGTTATTAACTTCCAGACCCTAATGGTACTCAATGACAAATTGCATTTATATAGTGCCTTTAATGTAATGAAACTTCCCAAGGCACTCCACCTAAGTGTATGAGGCAGAGTGTGACATCAAGTCACATAAGGAGATAGATAAAAGCAAGTTGAAGAGGCAGGTTTTAAGAAGTGCTTATGGTAGGAGAATTTGAGACTAAAAACTGAAGGCCTGACCACCAACTCTTTTTAATTCATTAAAGTATCTGGTCGGTGTGGACGAGTTGGACCGAAGGGTCTGTTTCATAGAACATTACAGCGCAGTACAGGCCCTTCAGCCCTCAATGTTGCGCCGACCTGTGAAACCAATCTGAAGCCCATCTAACCTACGCTATTCCATTATCATCCATATGTTTATCCAATGACCATTTAAATGCCCTTAAAGTTGGCGAGTCTACTACTTTTGCAGGCAGGGCATTCCACGCCGTTACTACTCTCTGAGTAAAGACCCTACCTCTGGCATCTGTCCTATATCTATCACCCCTCAATTTAAAGCTATGTCCCCTCGTGCTAGCCATCACCATCCAAGGAAAAAGGCTCCCACTGTCCACCCTATCTAATCCTCTGATCATCTTGTATGTCTCTATTAAGTCACCTCTTAACCTTCTTCTGTCTAACGAAAACAGCCTCAATTCCCTCAGCTTTTCCTCATAAGACCTTCCCTCCATACCAGGCAACATCCTGGTAAATCTCCTCTGCACCCTTTCCAATGCTTCCACATCCTTCCTATAATGCGGTGACCAGAACTGTACACAATACTCCAAGTGCGGCCGCACCAGAGTTTTGTACAGCTGCAACATGACCTCATAGCTCTGAAACTCAATCCCTCTACCGATAAAACCTAACACACCGTACGCCTTCTTAACAACGCTATCAACCTGGGTGGCAACTTTCAGTGACCTATGCACGCGGACACCGAGATCTCTCTGCTCATCCACACTACCAAGAATCTTGCCATTAGCCCAGTACTCTGTATTCCTGTTACTCCTTCCAAAGTGAATCACCTCACACTTTTCCGCATTAAACTCCATTTGCCACCTCTCAGCCCAGCTCTGCAGCTTATCTATGTCCCTCTGTAACCTGCAATATCCTTCCGCACTATCCACAACTCCACCGACTTTGATGTCATCCGCAAATTTACTAACCCATCCTTCTATGCCCTCATCCAGGTCATTTATAAAAATGACAAACAGCAGTGGCCCCAAAACAGATCCTTGAGGTACACCACTAGTAACTGAACTCCAGGATGAACATTTCCCATCAACCACCACCCTCTGTCTTCTTACAGCTAGCCAATTTCTGATCCAAACCGCTAAATCACCCTCAATCCCATGCCTCCGTATTTTCTGCAATAGCCTACCATGGGGAACCTTATCAAACCTTATTATCCATGCTGTACATCTCTATGAATACAACTCTATGGTTCTAATCGGATGTGGGCATCATCGTTCAGGCCAACATTTATTGGCCATCCCTAATTCCTCCTGTGAACATGGTGGTGAGCTGCTTTATTAAACCATTGTCATCTTTGGGAAGTTAGATACACCCACAGTATTCTTGAGAAAGAAGATCCAGGATATTGATACAACAACAGTGGAGGAACAGGTCTAAGCCAAAATGATGTGTGGCTTGGAGGGGAATTTGCAGATAGCAGTGTTCTGATGTATCTGCTGGCTTTGCCCTTCTAGGTGGTAGAGATGGCAGGTTTGGAAGGTACTGTTGAAAGATCCTGGGTGAATTGTTGTAGTACATCTTGTAAATGGTACACATTGCCTTCATCATCGACGCAGTACCAGCAATGAATGTTGAATATGGTAGATGGGGTGCCAATCAAGCTTTGTCCAGGATAATCTTAGAGTTATGGAGTTTTACAGCATAGGAAAGAGACCTTGCAGGTCATCATGTCCATATTAGTCATCATGTACCTATCTACTCTAGTCCCATTTTCCAGCACTTGGTTGTGGAGTTATGGAGTTTCAAATGCTCATCTACATACTTTTTAAATGGTGTGATGGTTCCCACCTCTACCACCTTTTCAGGCAGTGAGTTCCAGATGTCCACTACCCTCTGGTGAAAAAAAATTCTTCCTTTAATCTCCTTCTAAACGTCTTGTCCTTTATCTTATATCTTTGTACCCTGTTATTGACTTATCAACTGAAGGGAAATGTTTCTTCCTATCTACCCTATCTATGCCCCTCATAACTTTGTGCATCTCAATCAGGTCTCCCCTTGGCCTTCTCTGTCTAAGGAAAACAACCCCAGTGTGTCTGAGACAACAAGGTGCAGGGCTGGATATCTGTCCTCAAAACTGAATCGCTGCAATCCCAGTGAATCTCCTCTGCCCTCTCTCCAGTGTAATCACATCCTTCTTATCATGTAGCAACCAGAACTGCACATAGTACTCCAGTTGTGGCCTAAATGTTATATACAGCTTCGTCACGACCTCTTTGTTCTTGTATTAAATGCCTCAACTAATAAAGGCAAGTATCCCATACTTTTCAAACATCTTAATGATCTGTCCTGTCACCTACAAGGAGCAGTGTCAAGCTTCTTAACAGTTGTTGGACCTGCCACTCATACAGGCAAGTTGGTAGAATTCCATCTCACTCCTGATTTGTGCCTTGTGGATGACAGACAGGCTTTGGGGAGTCAGGAGGTCAGTTACTCACACACAGAATTCCCAGACTATGACTAGTTCTGAGGGAGGGTCACTGGACCCGAAACACTAACTCTGATTTTTTCTTCACAGATGCTGCCAGACCTATTGAGCTTTTCCAGCTGTTTTTGTCCCAGACTGTGACCTGTTTTCTTGTGTCACCAGCAGTTCCTTTACCAATCTGTATCTTCCATTTGCCACTAGAAATAGCTTCTCCTTATTGATCCTAAGAAATCTGCTCCTGAGTTTGAGCACCTCAATCAAACCTTCACTGAACCTTTCTGTTGTAAGGAGGACAAATCCCAGCTTCTCGAATGAACTGATCTAGATTTATGTTTCATCTGCAGAACATCTCTGCAGGAACTCCTCAGGGTAGTATCCAAGGCACAACCATCTTCAGCTGTTCATTCAATGAGCTTCCCTTCATCATTAAGTCAGAAATGGGATGTTTGCTGATGGCTACACGATGTTCAGTGTTGTCACAACTCTCAGATACAGAGGCAGTCCTTTTTCAAATGCAACAAGATCTGGACAATATCTGGTTTGGGCAGACAAGTGGCAAGTAACACTCATGCTACACAGCTGCCAGGTAATGACTATCTCTAACAAAAGAAAATCTTGCTATGGCCTCTTGATGTTCATTGTGGAATCCCACACTGTCAACATCCTGAGGTTTACCATTGATCAGAAACATGTAATTACTGTGGCTGTAACAGTAGGTCAGAGGCCAAGAATCGTGCAGCAAGTAACTCACCTCCTGACTCCCCAAAGTCTGGCAACCATCAACAAGGCAAAAGTCAGGAGTGTGATGGAATATTCTCCAGTTGTTTAGCCGAGTGTAGACTCTACAACACTGAAGAAGCTTGATACCATTCAAGAACAAAGCAGTCTGCTTACTTGCCAGGCTAAGAGCTTGAAAATGGGTGTCAGATCTTGTTTTTGGGCATAGACATAATGGGTCAAATGGTCTTCTGAACTGTAAACGCATATGAACTATAAGAAACAACCCATGAAGGGTTAGAACAGTACTATATACACTGGCAGAGTTTAAGGTTTTGCTGCCAGCAGGAGGGATAGGAGTAGGGGGCCGGGGGGGAAGTATTGGGTAAAGGGATTGATTTGGAAAATCCCATTCTGCTCACCCACACCCCTTGGCATCCTATTGGCCAATCAACATCCTCCAGACAGAGATCTGATGGCGCGAGATGAACGCATACAACCCTCTAGCTGATTGGGTGAATTGCGACATATGTAAATGAGCAAACACCACGGTTAAGTGGGGGGGCGAAGAAGGAAAAAGTTTTGAACCTAAATTATTATTCGAGTTACAGATCCCAGCCAAGTTAATGCAGCAATTTGTAAAAATCCGTAAATAGTAATCTGTAAAAAAAAAGTTAAAAATCCAGTCACCTTGACATAAAGGGGAAATGAGGGCTAGACCTGAACGTGAGAGGCGCCGCCTCTCGGCGGAGCGGCTGCACACCGGTAATGGATGAGCTTGGCACCTCGTTGGATGTAGGGTCATCCCCCGGAGGCTCGGACCAGGCGGAGCTGTCGCGGATGATTGCAATGGAGCAGCAAAAGGCTCAGTTCCAGCTCAAGGTGCACAATTTCACCGACGTGTGCTGGGAGAAGTGCGTGGAGAAGCTGAGCTCCCGACTCGACTCTCGGACCGAGGCCTGCCTAGTGAACTGTGTGGACCGCTTCGTGGACACCACCCTGGCCATCACCAACCGTTTCGCCCAGATGGTGCAGAAAGGGGGTCATTGAATCCACACATCAGTGAAGGTGACTGCCACCCCGATCTCTCAGGAACGAAGGGGCCGTTTTGTACGTGTTCTGGAATATTTGCCATTGACCAGATCTATCATGTTGTACATGCTTTGAGCACGTTTCACTGTGCAGCTATTTGAATACCCTTGCTCCAAGGTCATTTCAGCAACTTCCGTTGCCACTGTGTGTGCGTGTTTTGGCTGCGCACAGATCCTGTGTGAATCCACAAAAAATGTCATTAAAGTCTCTTACTTCATGACTACCTTGGAGTGCTCTTTCTCAATTGGATCCAAAGAGAGAGAAACACAAACTGGAGCCACTGGGAAAAGGTAGTGTAGTGGGACTTAAGGGAGTTGCTGTTGCAGAGATGGACAGAGTGTTTTTGACCAATGTGTGTAGATATTTTCTAATCAACCTGTTCGGGGATGTTATTATGCACCTCTGTGGGACTGTGATGACAGGCCTTCTGGTTCGGAGGTAGGGGCACTACCACTGTGCCATAAGAACCTCCTGCTTCTGGGCTGTAAACGTTCATTGATTCTTATCAGAAGCTTATCTGTTTCCCTTTTGAAAGTGTTGATTGTAGAGGGATGTAGATGTAGGGCGACCAGAACTGCGTACCATACTCCAAATGTGACCATACCAATGTTTTGTACAACTGCAACATGACATCTCTACTCCTATATGCAGTGCTCTGACCAATGAAAGCAAGTGTGCCGAAAGTCGCCTTTACCAGCCTGTGAGTCCAATTTCAAGGAGGGTCATTGAGTTGTACAGACCCTTCGGTCTAACACGTCCATGCTGATCAATTTTCCCAAACTAAACTAGTCCCACTTGCCTGCGTTTGGCATATATACCTCTAAATCTTTCCTATCCATGTACTTATCCAAATGTCTTTTAAATGTTGTAACAATGTATTCCACATACGAACCGCCCTCTGCGTGAAAACGTTGCCCCTCAGGCTCCTTTTAAATCTTTCACCTCTCACCTTAAAAATATGCCCCATAGTTTCAAACTCACTGACCCTAGAGAAAAGACCTTTTGCTATTCATCCTATCTTAGGCTCCTCATTATTTTATAAACCTCAATAAGGCACCCCCCCAGCCTAACCTTGTAATTCAAACCCTCCAGTCCTGGTAACGTCTTGGTAAATCTTTTCTGAACCCTCTAATTTAATAATATCCTTCTTGTAACAGGATGACCAGAGCTGTACACAGTACTCCTAAAGTGGCCTCGCCAGCATGCTATACAACTTTTAACATGACATACCAACTCCTATGAAAACCGAAAGAACTGCGGATGCTGTAAAACAGGAACAAAAACAAAGTTGCTGGATAAGCTCAGCAGGTCTGAGGAAGGGTCACCGGACCCGAAACGTTAACTCGGTTTCTTTTCCCACAGATGCTGCCAGACCTGCTGAGCTTTTCCAGCAACTTTGTTTTTGTACCAATTCCTGTACTTAATGGTCTGATCAATGAGGGCAAGTGTGCTAAATGCTGCTTTCATCTGTCCAGATATGATGCATCTTTTAAAGAACTAAGTACCTGAACCCCTAGGTGTCTTTGTTTGACAACACTACCTAGGGCCCTACCATTAACTGTATAAGCCCTGCCTTGTTTATTTTCCCAAAATGCCAGACCTCTTGCTTCAATTTTTTTCGGTACCTTCTATAATGAAGATAACAAAAGGTGTTCATTTTAGCTACCATTTCCTATTACCCACTCACTTCACCATTTTCAAGGGGAAAGGGAGTTTAAGTGGAGTTGAGGATTATCAGAATAACACTAAAATATGCGGATGCTGGAAATCTGAAACATAAACAGAAACTGCTGAAGAAACGCAGTAGCTCTGACAGCATCTGTGGAGGAAAACAGTTAATGTTTCAAGTCCAGAGCCCCTTTGTTGGGATGATCACATCAGCCGTGATCACATTGAATGGTAGAGCAGACGCAGTGGGCTGAATGGCCTACTGCTGGTCCTGTGTCTTGTGGTCAGTCTTATTGCAAGAAGGACGGAGTGTATAAGTGGGGAAGTCCTATGACAACTGAGGGCTTTGGTGAGACTGCATCTGCAGGACTATGTTATAGTTTTGGTCCACCCTCTTAAAGAGGGCCACATTTGCATTGCAGGCTGCTCATCTAAGATCATTAGATTGATTCCTGAGATGGAGTGTTGTTGGATGAATATACAAATTGGGAGCAGAAGTAGGCCATTTGGCCCCTTGAACATACTCTGGCATTCATTGAGATCATAGCTGATCTGTTTGTGTTTTAAATTTCACATTCCCATCTACTCCCCATAACCTTTGATTTTCCCTGTGAACAAGAATCTACCTCTACCTTAAAATATTAATTGGTCCAATTCCACCACCGTCTGAGGAAGTTCCAAAGATAAACAGCCCTCTCCGGAATCCCCCATCTCTCTCCAAAAAGAGTAATCCTTGAATTTATTTTTTTTTTAAATTTCAACAATAGACTTTATTCATAAAACTCTATATATACATAGTCATTAGAGCAGTTTGATTCTGTTCAGTCTTTACATATGGAGAACAAACACAAGGTATTTCTTACTTACACAAGATTATATTTATATATATTTGAGGCACCGAGAGGGTCTGATAACTGAACGGCCCCACATTGTAATTTGACTGAAAGGCCATCGACGGTGGTCTTTCCCCAATGCCCCTTGGTGGTAGCTGCCCCAAGCTTTAATGCGTCCCTCAGCATGTAGTCCAGGACCTTTGAATGTGCCAGTCTGCAACACTTGGTTGAGTCAACTCCTTGTTCTGGAAGACCAACAAGTTTCGGACAGATCAAAGAGCATCTTTCATGAAGTTGATGGCCCTCCAGGTGCAGTTGATGTTCGTCTCAGTGTGTGTCCTGGGTAACAGCGGCTAGAGCACAGAATCCTGTGTCATGGAGCTGCTCAGGATGAACCTTGCCAAAAACCACTGCATTTTTCTCCAGACTTCCTTTGCAAAGGCACATTCCAGCAGGAGATGTATAACAGTCTGTGCCTGGCCCCTGCTGCAACCGCTTTGAGGGCAGTGTGTGGTGGCACAGTCTGGGCACACATAAAGGATCTGATGGGTAGTACCTTACTCATCACCAGCCAAGCTATGTCTTGGTGCTTTTTGGAGAGCTCTGGCCATTCTTTAAGCTCTGTTTGACTGGGTGTGGTTTTACTGAAACTGAAGGCAGCTGAGTCACTCCAGGTGAAGTTGGTTAACAGAACAACTTGTTTAATCCAGTTCAGAAGCATTGTATTTGGGGCCTCAAGAAAGGAAGACTACCTGACTGCTGCTTGGGTAAATGAGAGTGCTGTGCAGTTGGGTGAAAACAGGGAGTTTGTGAAGCTGAAAGACTGAATGAAGTGCTCAGTCTCAGTCCAGGCAGTTCTAAAAGTGACACGGTCCCAACAGACATGGCCAACTGCAAGCACCTGCAGGGTATTTTCTTACAGTTTTTAAAACATAATTAATTAGCTTAAATAATGGCTCGGTCTTTTGATTATAATAGTGTTTGAAACAAAGTAAGCTTCCCCAACTTAATTAAATTCTCTTAAAGGGAGTAACCAGCTTAATCTAGAGAGAAGTCATGACAGGTGACCTCAGAGCTGTGGTGTTCTCTTCTTGCACAATGTGGGAAATAAGGAATGCTTCCTGTGTCCCTGATGACTACATGTGCAAGGAGTGTGTCCAACTGCAGCTACTAGCATGCTACCTTTCAGAGCTGGAGCTGTGGCTAGACTCACATGGGAGCATCTGTGATGCTGAGAATGTCATGGATAGCACATTTACTGGTTAAGACTGGACATCTTCATTTAAACTGTTCATTTTACTGATAAAACTATTTTCAGTGCTACCAATAAAATTCACATCTGTGCCACCACTATTAAACCATTCGAATGATTCCCATGTAAAGCAAAGCCAGAATGGCTTTCTGTTATACCCAAATAAAAGTGAACTACTGTGGATGCTGGAAAAGTGAAACAAACACAGAATATAGGAGCAACCAAGCAGGTTTGATAGTATCAGTGGATGCTCTACAGACCTCTGCGTTTGTTTCCATTACTCTGCCTCATTGCCTTGGTTAGTGGTAATTTCAAAGCAAAACCACATATTTCTGTGATGTAAAAGTGTAGGGAGATCACTGAAATGAATTTTGTCGGCAAGTGTAAGAAGCTTCGGAGAAATGAAGGACGTTCACAAAAATAAAGGTGGTGTGAAAAGCTAAGACTCTGATGGGAGATGATAAATTAATGAAAAACAATGGGATCTTGCAGCTAAAGCCTGGAATTCAAACTGAAAATTCTACGAAAACAAATTGAGGAAGGGTCACTGGACCCGAAACGTTAATTCTGTTTTTTCCTTCACAGATGCTGCCAGATCTGCTGAGCTTTTCCAGTAACTTTGGTTTTTGTGGAAGTTGAAGTCAATCCTGAGTAGCAACACAGCTACCCGTCTCCCATCAGAAAAGTTGTTTGCAGATTGTCTGCTTGTTCTTCAAATTCACAGCATTGGCAGAATTTCACCTTGACATGCATGTCTGTTTGTTGACTTGGAGACCCAGCAGCAACTAAACTGTTAGCAATGGAGAAAATTCCTCCTTCCTCACAAGGCAAACTAATACAAGAGTCTAAAACTAGTTCAAATTCTGAATTAGGAAAATCACTGAAGAAATGTTTAAGAAAATATCTGATCAGGACAAACGAGACTGATCAGAAACTTTGCTGAATGCACCTGCATTGGAAAAGTTTAATTCTGTGTATTTGGTGGAAACTGAACAGCAGTTAGGGGTTGGGTAGCTGTTGAAGTGATTCAAGACTCCTGCTGGGCTTTCTGTCCAACAATTCCAACTGTAATCTAGCTCCTTACAAGGGTGAATCAGGGCTGAAACACTAATTGTACTACTGACACTAACCTGTCAGCACACAGCATCAGAAAGCAATAATAACGTGTAATAAATGAATAAAATTATATTTTTGAAATTAAAAAAATACAAAAGATACAGCACAATGCAGCTCAGATAAGGCTGAGTAACTGATAGCAGTGAATAATTGAGGCCAGAGTATGAAAGGTTGTCATTTATTCTACAAATAGGCGAATGTTAAAGTGTCTGCGACATTGATGTTTGTTCCATTAAGTACTGATTGCATTTATTGTAAAATTTTTATATTCACTTACTTTTGACAGAATGATAGATATGTTTCCATATGCTGCATGCCTGAGGAATTGATTTCCCTCTGGAATAAAGCAATAAA